TATTGTATTTAATGTGACTGATGTTAAGGCTGAATGGACATCACTATGTGTGTTGTTTTTGGTAATTTACTAGTAAATGCTTTGTGTGGCAGTTGTTTCAAAATTTATCCTTTTTATGAATTTTAAGTTTAATGTATTGCTTTTGAAGGTTGAACGAAGGTCATACTGTGTTTGTGGAGAGGAAGATAGCTGGGTGTCTCTATGGGGGTGAACCAATGAGACACTTCCTGGGAATCGGTGGCTGGAAAACCCTCCAATACGGGGTACTGTTTGTTTTAATGCTCCTGCAAAAAAAGTGCGCTATGCTATCATGCTGTATGTCTTTCAACCTGTTAGCATTTTCTTGTGTCTGCAACTTCTCCCTCAGTGAGTGAGCAAATCTTTTAAAATTTTATCTATCAAGAGCCAAAATTTAAAAGTTTAAAGGTTTTTAATATGTTGAAACATGACCTCTGCTTGACAGTGATTCTAGAAATCACTAGCAATATAGTACATACTTTGTTTAACAGTGTTTCACAATCATGTATAATGTACAAAATAAGGGAAAAAAAGTACTTGAAAATTCTACAAATCACTAGAAATATACCAATACTTAGTTTAACAACTAATGTTTCAAAATCACATATAATTTACAGAATTAGAAAAATAAGTGTGCTTGAAAATGGAAGCCCAAGATTTCATAATCTGCATTTTGTTTGACCTTTAAATATGTCATTGACCTTGATAGGTTGTGGACGTCCTAAAAAATGGCCCCTACACCAAGCTCGTCCCTGACCTGCGTGGGGTGGACCCTGACGATGCCTTTTCTGTGGTGCCCTATGAGAAAGGTTTTGCCCTCCTGTTTTACCTGGAAACACTTGTAGGAGGACCAGGTATTGTTCAATACATTACACTTCATTTTGTTTAAAGTGCACAAATAACAATGAAACTGACACCCAACCTTTGAAGGAATACAAAACACTGTATAGATATAAGTTGAAATGCAAGCTTGTTCATTACTATTAAAAGCTAGTTCATCAATGCTGAAAATGATTTAGATGTAATATCAAATATGTATTCTTCTACGATACATCTTGCAAACTGTGCTTGCTAAACAAAAATGAAATTAAAGTTCTTTCATTAAAACATTAAGTTTTTAAAACATTAAGTTTTTGTTAAGTTTTTAGAAGTAAAAACCTGGCAAGTTCTATTCAGCTGTTGTTAAAAATCGGCTCTAATATCTTAATTAATTAAAATCATATACAATCAGAAATACAATTCCTTTTCTTATGTAGTTTGAATTACGTAGTGCCAACCAGTTGCGATGTTTATTTTTAGAATACTACTACAAAACGGTCATAATTTATGCTACTTAATTCAGATGATTCTGAAGTTGACTATAAACATTCTGCTTCAGAGAAATAAAACAATGTAAAGCTATTGGCATGATACAGGTATTAAGTAATAGAATTGTTAACAATACATTTTATACAATACTTGCTGAAAAATTATTGTAGCAGTTTAATGGTTAAGTAGAAGATTGTTTGAAAAATTTCATTATACATTGTACATCCCTGGGTCATAACCCTGAAATGGTTGAGATCCCAACTCCATATCCGTATATGCCATTCTTTAGGGCACAAAAAGTCTGATTTATATATGCTACTAGGTTTAGTCAAGGGACCTGCCCCACCCCTGGCAACTGAACCATGACATTGGAAATGGTTGAGATCCCAACTATATAACCAGAAGTACAGTTGTGGGGAATAAAGAGTCCAACACAATCATGCTAACAGAATCAGCTTTGGGGTTTGCCCCACCCTTAGGGACTTTATTTAGATATCTAATACAGACCATCAGACCATCTTGTTTAAATGTTTGTTAAACTTAATTGCATGTAAAAAATGTTTCAAAATCTTAAAAACCTTCCCAATATTTAAAGAAAAATTTGAATAGTCTTCAAACATACCTTTTAATGATTCCATAGAATGTTACCTATTTTAGAACATATTTGGGCTCCTGCCCTTCATCAGTCTCACTGAGGAAAATATTGTCTTTAATTTAATGTCATGAATGATTACATAATCACACAATCATTCAACGATACTAAAAAAGGGCAGACTTAGCCTGAAAGTTTTATATAATTGGCAACATTCTCTGGAATTTCTGAAATAAAAATCTTTCGCCTGAACGTTGTGTGTTCTTTTGTTTTAGCCGTATTTGAACCCTTTCTACGAGCCTACATTGAGCAGTTTCAGGGAGATTCCATAGTTACTGACCAGTGGAAAGAGTTTCTGTTCTCCTTCTTCAAGGACAAGGTGAGTGACAAAAATAACACACAACAAAATATCCCATAATATTGTGGAATCTTTGAGGCTATTGAAATGGGACATCTTTTAATTAATGTACAATGTATCTTTTAATCTGACAACTTTATATTATGCATTGTACACCATTATTTTATGGACATAATATAACTTGTGTTGTGTCAACTTTGCATGTATCTTGACTTGAACCTATCATCAAGGAGTTCTGTAATTGACCAAAAGAGAATTAAACAAAGTGTTGTTGTTTTACCTAATTAGGTCACTGACATCTTGAATTTTGATATCCATTTTTGTAAATTGAACAAAATATTAACTTAGATGTTTTGTTTGGAAGAATTAGGTCACTGTGACCTATTTTTCAAAGTTTGACCTACATATCTGGAAATTAATATAAAACTGTTCTTTGACCAAATTAGTTCACTGTTACCTTCTTAAATGAACATTTAGCCGAAACTATTCCATTTGTATAGGATTTATTCAAAATGAATATTTGTTTGGCATTATAGGTTGATGTGTTCAAAGACGTTGAATGGGATAAGTGGTTCTTTGGACAGGGGATGCCGCCAATAAAACCAAAGTAGGTCAATATATAGTTGAACACTATTATGTAATTATATTAATCATATTTATGACAGCTGTACAGTTCACCTTGTACTGTTCATGTTATCAACAGTATCCTGTCCTTCACACCTTCATTTCTGGCCTATAGATATGATGACAGTCTTGCCGTGCCGTGTGCGGATCTGAGCCAGCGATGGGTGAAAGCTGTGAAGGAAGAGTTCTCATTGTTCAAAGCTGAGGATCTGGCGTCTCTGTCTACTGCACAGAAAAGGGAGTTCTTCTCACTTTTGTTGATAGAGGTAAGAAACTTAAATAAAAAAAAATCATAATCCGTCTTGGAAAACTACATACCTGGGGTACTATCCTGCAATGTACAGTAAAACCTCAGTATAACGCCCCTCATTTATATACAGTAAAACCTCAGTATAATGCCCCTCAT